TGAGACGACCGTCTCATGAAACAAGATGGCCATCTCCTGACGGCAGACTAGTTAAGTCCCGCCGTCAGGTGGGTATCTCCTGACGCGAGGCTGGCTGGCCGTCACGTGACTTATCGACGACCATTTCCTGAGGCGAAGCTGGCCGCCTCGTGACGTGTCGACGGCCACCTCCTGACAAGTGATGCGTTCGTCTCCTGGCGCGGGGGGTGGCCGACCCACCGTCGCAGTCACCAGCAGGCGACGCTTTGGTCTTGGCCGCCGACATTGAGCCGCGCTGACAGCGCCTCGCAACCTGGGGCCGACAACGACCGATTGTGCCCAGCGCGGAGCAACCGCCCAGCAACGCCGACTCGCCCGTTCCGTCGACTCGTGCAGTCAAGGCCGACACTAGGTCAGCGTCCACCCCACGGGACGGTTCGGGGAATGAATAGCTTGCGACAATGAGACGACGCGTGGCTGGCGACGGGAGCGTCGACAGGTTCAGTCGTTGGCAGCAATGGGCCAGCGCCGGTGCCAGCGGCAGCGCCGGGGGCAGAGGCCAGCTTTGCCTGAGCCGGCGGCGGCTCCGGCGTCGGCCGCCGCACGCCGCCGCCGGCCTGGAGCGGACTCGCGTCCTCGGGGTGTCTGCCGACCGCACCGCGGCCACCGGTGTCTATCGACAGGTTATTGAGCAGGTCAGCCCATTGATCAGTTTGCACCCCGCTGTGAGTTCCACTCGGTCGCTCGGTGAGCGCCGGACTCTGCCCGCCGGCGAGCCGGGCACGGCAACGGAGCTTCGGGTCGGCCGAGCGCACCGTTGCCAGGAGACGGGCGCCGCGTCGTCGGCGACGTCGGAGCGGAAGCGAAACAGTCGCTGAAAGTGCCTTCTGAGTCTTGATCCGCAATGGATATCAGCCGGACAGACTTCTGGCGACCGGCCGGCCTGCCCACGCTAACGTGGCTAAGCTGACTCAGCAGCGACAAGCAAGTCCGCAGCCGACGGTTTGAGTGTTCGCGGTGTGCGAAATGAAACCCAAGTGAAGTGGATGGCAACTGGCCACACCATCCACTTCGATTAGCTGTTTTATGGGCTCGCGGCAGAGACATTCGCTAACAGGGTCGACAAATGTTGTAGCTGCTAGCGGGAACAAAGGTGAATATCCTGAAACAAAGAGCCTGTCAAAAGAAGAACATGTTAACGATTTGAAGTGCGGGATTGTTTTCAATTGTCAACGAAACTTGTTGCACTTATTGCAATGTGCCTGCCAATCCAAGTGCATAATTGGTAATTTCCTAACATGAAAGTCCACGTGCAGGCTGTGTGATTTGCGCTGTGTCACTCATCCAGTTTCCGCTGTCAGTGAAATAAGTCTGCACAGAACTGAACGCAAAAAATGCTTCAATTGCAAATAGGTTTGCGACCTTACCACCTCCTTTCATGGAAAAGCGTTCACCACCCACTCTGGCTAACTCCGGAGAGCACGCTCCACACATTGCGGAACAAAGACCGATGCCAGCCACATCTGCTCTCCGATGGCAGGCCACGGGTGCATCTCACCAGCTCTGGCCGCGAAAGTGGGCTTGCACCGCGAGAATGTTTTCCGAGTACCTGGCACCATCTGGTTCCGGAGCCCAGCGCCATGCAGACGCGCGGCACGCCAGACCCGGCCTGGCCGTTCCGCCACCACGCCGACCGGATCTCCGCCACCACGCCGACCGGAGCTCCGCCACCACGCCGACCGGAGCTCCGCCACCACGCCGACCGGAGCTCCGCCACCACGCCGACCGGAGCTCCGCCACCACGCCGACCGGGGCTCCGCCACCACGCCGACCGGAGCTGACGGGCGCGGCGGAGCGCCGCCTTGAAGTCGGCCGCACGGAGCTGGTGACGCCTGACAGTGGTGGTGACAGCTCGAATGCAGCATCACTTACCAGGCTGCGTGCATATGTGATTAAGTGCGTGTGAGACACGCTGTGTAGATTTTGGTCACTTTCTGAGGAGAGCTCTTAATGTTTGGGAGGAGATTTGTAGCCAAAAACTTTGCCCATTAGCTCATTTGAAAACTTTTGAAAAAGTTCATGGGATACATTTTGAATATGTTTTAAGCGGGACAGTATGGCAGCGCAAACATTTCGAAAAATGACAGTGTGATGACTTTGTGCGGATGAACTTTTTTCACAGGCGCACTTGGCCCTTTAACAAATGCCGTGCCTTATAGCACGGATGCATGTGGTGAATTGTTTCATGGCAGCGTGAAAGACACATGCGCGTGATATAAAAAACTTCGTGTGATGTCGAAAACATGGCTAGTCAAACGCGTTTACTATCCCTAACCAGCAAGTATTTCTCCATCGGTAATCGTACACTTATGCGTTATGTTACGTTATGTTAATGCATTGTGCATTGGAAGTAATTGGCACCGCACTATTACATGCACTGCAGGGACACGGGCAAAGATCACGCGCGCTGTCAGTGTCCGCAAGCGGCAACGGAGCACCATGAATGGTGTGGTCCGGACCGGCATAACGCCAAGCGGAAGAGTCCTAGTTCGCCAGTGATGACAAGTTAGTCACCCGCCCTGTGTTCTTCACTCATCGTTTCCTTCTAATCTCTCCCAGTACCTCACCGCGCGGTGTTATCAGTGACTGGTCGCCAGCGATGAGCCGGCTTCACGGCCAGCCTGGCTGGAGCCCCGCCCGAGCGCTC